AAAGAAGTTGCTGAAAATACACTCAAATTATTTCTTTCTACTAAAATAAAAATTAGATTTGATATTTTCTTTCACTATCCTAGGAACTAAGTTAGTTTTGCTCTGAATAACTTAATCTTGATATTCAATTGCTTCACCTTCAATTGCTTATTAGTGAATTTAGTTACAAAATGATATTCTTAATTACTAAAGGGAACTGATGTATTGACACCAAAGCCAGCTTTATTCAAGAGTTCAGATTAATTTCTTTCTTATCTGACCATGTATAATGCTACAGTTGTATGCATGCTTCTCAGAACCATGGTTACAATTTTTCAAATAAAACGTTATTTTACTTGTATGTTAATATGTCAATGATAAAATAATACATAACATTTGCGATAATAATTAGTTTGTACATCTATAATATACATTTTATATTCTTGCAACATATATACTATTTTTCATTTCAACTGTGTCAAGAACAAGTAAAACATAGTTTTATTTTTAAATTGTCCTACAATTCAAACATTTGAGGGGTTTTTCAAGAGGTAGAGTATAGGAAGATTGGAGAGTAACTAGTACTTGCTTAAAAAGAAAAAAATATATATGTCCTGAATATTCAAGAAGCTGAATAAATATTGAAGGAGAAAATTATAACAAGACTCCATTCATTAAATGTACATATAATTTACTGATTAAATATTGGAACACCGCCCTACTACTATTATGAAAAAACTGTCAAAAAATAGTATTCTAACATAATGACAAGTTTTATCATTTTATATTATGAATATTATAATAGTCTAAAAATCTGATAAACCTTCTGGAATATTCAGTAAGAGAAATCCAAAAGCAAAAATAAAAGTGTCTTCTTCCATGACTCACTCTTTTTCTTCATCTTTTTCACAAAGAGTAAATTCTCTATTGTTCATGACTCTGTCCTGTCTTCGTGTGTTACCTTTACCTCCCAAAAGGTTTGAGGTGGAGTGTGTTGGGTTAAGAGGCAGAAACCAATAGTTCTAGCACTGATCTCCCCCAGTAGAACTCCTGCCTATACCCATGACCTCAATGGATTACGCAGGATATGGAGGAAAGCAGAGTTCCTTCTTTTCTCTGTCTGCCCTTTAGGAAGTATATGGAATAGTCACGTCACAAGAAAAGTTATAGCAACTAATCTAACATTCATATTACTGTTCAGGAAAAAGAATTTCAAAGGCATATTTTGCTCAAAGTAATGCCGTAATTTTAAGATTAGGGCAGAAAATGACAAAAAAAATCTGTTATATGTTTTGATAATGAAACTCTTTGCTGCATTTTATAAGGCAATTTAAAACGTGCTGTTAAAAATATCACATATAGTGTGTTATGAGTTATAATTTATTTATGTATTTCAGTGCACAAATAGCAAGTCATTTGCAGTAAATTGCAATAATATTTGCATAATTAGTCCATGCATGAAGCTGAAATAGAAATACTCTCAAATGTGAAAATGAAACAAACTCAAGTAGTTCTCTTTAAAATAATGAATGAAAGAAAATTTTCAGGAAGAGGAATAGGCTTTTTAAGTGAAAGCAAAAAACAAATATTGGTAATTAAGGAAGACTCATCCATTGATTCAATAATATTTATTGAGTATTTTCTAAATGCCAGGACCACCTTATTTCTCATGATAAATTTAGAGTCACCTGCACATCTCTCATTATTGACATATAAAATTAAATAGCATATTAACACAAGATAGCTAATAAAACAAGTAAGCAGATAAAATAGCTAGGATTAGAGGGCATTCTGGTTACCTCATCTAAGGTCGGCCTTAATTATTACTGAAGAGCAAAAATTGCATTCTGAGTGCATCTGAGTGGGGACAAAGTTACTTTAAAATGCAGAAAGTTTTAATCTATTTTAGAAAATGCTCTATTGGAAAAAAATGCAGTAAAATAGGTGTTTTGCTTAAAAAGTCATTTATACAGACATCCTGCAGCAACCTGATAATCTTACTATCCTAATGATTATACACTCAGATTAATATATTAAAAGCACTTTGGGGAGGGGGGCTCAAAACTTATATTCAGAGTAGTCTCTGGAGTGTCATATATTTGATTGTAAAATCCAGGTGACCCCTGCAAGATGAGGAATTCGTCACACTGTAACCTGCGTATCCAGTCTTTAGTGCAAAGCAACGTCCAATTTAAAGAGTGTCTCTGTACTGATGACCTCTACTGTACTGTGAAAAAATTGCTTGGAAAAAAATGCACCAATAAATCAGGTAATACTTTTTTTAAATGGAATATTTACAATCATGAAAAAGAAAACTGCAATTTCAA